GTTATTTGTGGGGTTTCCCTAAGGGTCAGTTTGGGACCCCTTTCTTTGTAATATATAACATATGGGGTCGGGGGGTCTCAAATCTTTGCGATGACCCCCAAAACTGGCCCGGGGGAAAAAAACGTCCTTTCAATGTCTCCCAAAATTAAAAGCCGACCTCAAGCTCTTGTAAATTGGGGGGGCAAAGGGGCCCAAAGAGGGGTAATGGGATAAATGGAAATTTTGCACTTGGGGGGGAAGGGAAAATGCATTATACATACTAAAGGGGGTACAACTGGGGGGGGAATGGGGGAGGGGGAAAAAGAAAAAGGACAAAGGGGGGAAGATTGGGGGAAACAATTTGGGGGGGAAAAATTTGGGAAAAATGGTGAAGAAGGGTCGTGGGGGCAATTTTGGGGAAAGACCTTGGGGGGGTCATGGTGGGGGAAGAAACTTGGGTTCGTTTGATCAAAAAGGTTAATAAAACCCCAATGCCCAAAAATGGCCGGGGTTCCCAAAGTGAGCAAAATCCCCTCTTGTATTAGGGGAGGGATAACTCCAAAAGAAGAGAGATATAACCCCCCCCCCCCCTTCCCCCCCCCACAAATCTTTTGTAACACCTCATCTGGGGAAAATGCATTTAGGTTTTTGGGCCCCCCAAAACACCCAAAAAAAACACATAATATAAACACATAAGGGGGGGTATGATCTCCAGTATAATACATTAAGGGGGGGGGAAAATGATCTCCATTTATAAAAACATAAAGGGGGGTAGATCTCCATGTAAAAAATACATAAAAGGGGGGTATATCCCCCATGTATTTTTAAAATAAAGGGGGGTTTTTGATCTCCTGTATTAAAAACATAAGGGGGGGTATGATCTCCATGAAAAATTTCTAAGGGGGAATATCCATTTTTAATTTCATTTGGGGGGGTTTGATCTCCAAAAGTATAATACATAAGGGGGGATAGAACTCCCCCGTATAAAAACTTTAAGGGGGGATAGATCCCTTTTATAAAAATATAGTTATCTCCATGTATAATACAATAAGTGGGGTATATGATCTCCATGTATAATACATAAGGGGGGATATGATCTCCCATGTATATAATACATAAGGGGGGATATGATCTCCATAGTTGTATAATACATACATGGGGGATATGAATCTTCCATGTATATTACAAAGGGGGGATAATGATCTCCATGTATAATACATAAGGGGGATATGATCTCCATGTTATAATACATAAGGGGGGATATGATCTCCATGTAAATAATACATAAGAGGGGGGATATGATCTCCATGTATAATACATAAGGGGGGATATGAATCTCCATGTATAATACATAAGGGGGGATATGATCTCCATGTATAAATACATAGGGGGGGATATGATCTCCATGTATAATACATAATGGGGGGATATGATCTCCATGTATAATACATAACAGGGGGATATGATCTCCATGGTAATAATACATAAGGGGGGATATGATCTCCATGTATAATACATAAGGGGGGATATGATCTCCATGTATAATACATACGGAAGGGGGGGGATATGATCTCCATGTATAATACATAAGGGGGGATATGATCTCCATGTATAATACATAAGGGGGGATATGATCTCCATGTATAATACATAAGGGGGGATATGATCTCCATGTATAATACATAAGGGGGGGGGGGATATGATCTCCATGTATAATACATAAGGGGGGATATGATCTCCATGTATATAATACATAAGGGGGGGATATGATCTCCATGTATAATACATAAGGGGGGATATGATCTCCATGTATAATACATAAGGGGGATATGATCTCCATGTATAATACATAAGGGGGGATATGATCTCCATGTATAATACATAAAGGGGGATATGATCTCCATGTATAATACATAAGGGGGGATATGATCTCCATGTATAATACATAAGGGGGGATATGATCTCCATGTATAATACATAAGGGGGGATATGATCTCCATGTATAATACATAAGGGGGGATATATCTCCATGTATAATACATAAGGGGGATATGATCTCCATGTATAATACATAAGGGGGGAATATGATCTCCATGTATAATACATAAGGGGGATATATGATCTCCATGTATAATACATAAGGGGGGATATGATCTCCATGTATAATACATAAGGGGATATGATCTCCATGTATAATACATAAGGGGGGGATATGATCTCAATCACCATGTATAATACATAAGGGATATGATCTCCATGTATATCTCCAGGGGGGTATAATACATACAAGGGGGGATATGATCTCCATGTATAATACATAAGGGGGGATATGATCTCCATGTATAATACATAAGGGGGATATGATCTCCATGTATCTACATAAGGGGGATATGATCTCCACATACATAAGGGGGGATATGATCTCCATGTATAATACATAAGGGGGGATATGATCTCCATGTATAATACATAAGGGGGGATATGATCTCCATGTATAATACATAAGGGGGGATATGATCTCCATGTATAATACATAAGGGGGGATATGATCTCCATGTATAATACATAAGGGGGGATATGATCTCCATGTATAATACATATTAAGGGGGATATGATCTCCATGTATAATACATAAGGGGGGATATGATCTCCATGTATAATACATAAGGGGGATATGATCTCCATGTATAATACATAAGGGGGGATATGATCTCCATGTATAATACATAAGGGGGGATATGATCCATGTATAATACATGGGGGGGGGGGGATTGCTGTAGGAAAGTCTCCTGGTATTCTTTCTTAAGGGGGGATACACAGAATATAATGGATATAACATTTATAGGGGAAAGTTGATCCAGGGAATATCCGATTGCCTCTCATAAGGGGGATCAGGAAGGAATTTTTTTTATCCCAGCAGGAGCAGATTGGATCTCCATGCTTTGCTAAGGGGGGATTTTGCCTTCTGGTGGATCCACTGTGATCTCCATGTTAATAACTTTTATTCTTTAATGGTTTACAACATAGATGGATGTCTTTTTTCAGCCAGACTAACTATGTAACTATGTAGGTCCCACACCGCTGCCTCCCATCTCCTGAGAATGCACTCAGTGACTTGGGTCTGAGACACTACAGACATATCCCTCCACCCGGCACAGCCAGCAGATAATCAGAGCAAGGAACCCTGGGAGAATTGTTCTGTCAGAGATCTTACTAGGACATGGGCAGAATATCAAAAGCACACACCCCAGGTGCCTAGGTCTAGAAGGAATTCTATGGTAAAAAATGAACATTTTGCTGCCAGCTGAACCCCAGAACCTCCATAAATCCAGTCTAGATACATAAATTGTGTCTGCAGCACAGAGAAGGAAGATTATCCGAGAGAAATCCAGGAATACAGGACGGGGAACACAGCTCAGGAAAGTGACCAGGGGATTACAGGCTGATATCACCCAGTCCCCGCCCTACTCTGGACCAATCAGTGAGCAGTATGGGTGGAGGAATGGATTTAGTGTTCATGACCCACCTGTGCTGATCTCTGTAGGAGTGTCCTCCTCTAAAATGTCCCCGTTATTCCATCCTCCTCCATAGACTGCTGATCATCCCTCACATAAACGCCTCTTCTTCTTCTTCTGCTTTCACCTCAAATTCTATATCGATTGGATCTCCACTCTAAATCAAGGAAATGGAGAGAAAAAATCATCTGTAAAATGTAAGGTCACAGCTCCACACATTGTCTCATGAGTCCATGTTCTAGATTCACTCCATCCCGCCCTACTCTGGACCAACCTTGTAATGGTGATCTGTGACCTTTGTGTGGAATCCCGGGAATACAGAGGACGGGGACATTCACTCCATACTCCTCATCCTCCTCTTTATACTCTTCTTTAACATCAATATTCTCATCCCCGAGGATTCCACTCTGAAAGATATAATAAAACATTCATTGTAACAAACATGCTGTGTATAAATCACAACTACCAATAATTGTCATCATCTACCTGATGATGGTGAGGGATGGTGTGACCTTCCTGTGTGGAATCCCGGGAATACAGAAGACGGGGACATCTCTCTGGTGGGTTCCTGTAGCTGGATGACTCCACCATGGTGTCCTGGTACAGATCTTTGTGTTCTTTTAGAAGGTCTGACTCCTCCATCCCCCATCATCCTCATCCTCCTCCTCTTTTATCTCTTCTTTAACCTCAACTTTAGGATCTCTCAGGTTTCCACTCTGAAATATATAATAAAAAATGCCATCAATGGTAACAATGCAGATAATGTACAGATCCTAATGATACTATCAGTGATTGTTCCTCATCTACCTGATGATGGTGAGGGATGGTGTGACCTTCCTGTGTGGAATCCCGGGAATACAGAGGACGGGGACATCTCTCTGGTGGGTTCCCATGACTGGATCCATCTGTAGGAAACACACACACTGACTGAATCCATTGTTTCTATGTGTTTATCAGATGATGGGGGATCTAGGTGGATCCTCCGTACTGCTCTCTCCTTTACAATAAAGTCTCCTCTTACCCGGTGATGTGAGGGGCGGCTGATTGTCCATCATGACGTCCTTGTAGAGATCCTTGTGTCCTTCTAAATATTGATTTGTATCATCAACATGTGTATTATTATCTGCTGGAGATAAAAGACGTCACAGTGACTACGGAGGAAGAGGACGGACATGAAGGGGGGTCACTGGGTATAAATAGAACATAACATCTTAATACCCCCTCTGCTGCCATGTTCACCAATGTCTCCGATATCCTTCACACGCATGGCACAGCCTGTTTTTTTTTCCAGATGACTTCCTGTGTGTTCCTGACATCACTTCCTGTCTGTACCTGACATCACTTCCTGTCTGTATTCCATAGAGAAGTCCTGTCTGGGTAAAAATGAGATCACCATCTTGTGGAGTTCAGAGGAACTGCAGCCCCGAGAAATGTCCCCTAATAACCATTCCTGCATTGTATCTACCTTACAGAGATATCAGGGAAGTGCAAAATAACTAAAAAAAAGTAAGAAACAATAAACCTAACTCTTATGCAACCAACTGTTTAAAAAAGTTTTTTTACTACAGATAGAAAAGTCTTAAAAAACAGAGATAACAACAAAGGTATACATAATAAAACAGAAACCTCCAAAATCAGACAGACTACCTCTTATATCAGAGAGAGACAGACTACCCAGAATGTCCTGTCCTTCATATCAGAGAGAGACAGACTACCCAGAATGTCCCATCCTTCATATCAGAGAGAGACAGACTACCCAGAATGTCCCTGTCCTCCTTATCATCAGAGAGAGACAGACTACCCAGAATGTCCCATCCTTCATATCAGAGAGAGACAGACTACCCAGAATGTCCTGTCCTTCATCATCAGAGAGAGACAGACTACCCAGAATGTCCCCATCCTTCATATCCAGACTACCCAGAATGTCCCATCCTTCATATCAGAGAGAGAGAGACTACCCAGAATGTCCCGTCCTTCATATCAGAGAGAGACAGACAGAACCCAGAATGTCCCGTCCTTCATAGAGAGAGAGAGACAGACTACCCAGAATGTCCCGTCCTTCATATCAGAGAGAGACAGACTACCCAGAATGTCCCATCCTTCATATCAGAGAGAGACAGACTACCCAGAATGTCCCTCCTTCCTTCATATCAGAGAGAGAGACAGACTACCCAGAATGTCCCATCCTTCATATCAGAGAGAGACAGACTACCCAGAATGTCCCGTCCTTCATATCAGAGAGAGACAGACTACCCAGAATGTCCCATCCTTCATATCAGAGAGAGACAGACTACCCAGAATGTCCCGTCCTTCATATCAGAGAGAGAGACAGAGAGACAGACTACCCAGAATGTCCCGTCCTTCATATCAGAGAGAGACAGACTACCCAGATGTCCCTCCTTCCAGAGAGAATGTACCCAGAATGTCCTTCTATCATATCAGAGAGAGACAGACTACCCAGAATGTCCCGTCCTTCATATCAGAGACCGAGACAGACTACCCAGAATGTCCCATCCTTCATATCAGAGAGAGAGAGAGACAGACTACCCAGAATGTCCCATCCTTCATATCAGAGAGAGACAGACTACCCAGAATGTCCCAGAGACTTCCTATCAGAGAGAGACAGACTACCCAGAATGTCCCATCCTTCCTATCAGAGAGAGAGAGAGAGACAGACTACCCAGAATGTCCCGTCCAGAATTCCTCCTTATCAGAGAGAGAGAGACAGACTACCCAGAATGTCCCAATCCTTCATATCAGAGACCGAGACAGACTACCCAGAATGTCCCATCGTTCCTATCAGAGAGAGAGACAGACTACCCAGAATGTCCCATCCTTCATATCAGAGAGAGACAGACTACCCAGAATGTCCCGTCCTTCTATTAGAGACCGAGACAGACTACCCAGAATCTCCCATCCTTCCTGTCAGAGAGAGAGACAGACTACCCAGAATGTCCCCGTCCTTCATATCAAAGAGAGAGAGACAGACTATCCAGAATGTCCCATCCTTCATATTAGACAGCCAGCTCTTGAAGGCTGGTAGGAAAGAACCATAAGGGTACCTAAGGGCTTGATTGGAAGAGGAGAAAGTGCCAAGACACCTCCACAGGGGTAAGCAGAGAGAAGAAATATGGAGAGCAACTCATATGGTGCACAAAACACCAGCAGGTCATAAGGATGCACAGGGACCCATGTGCCTAAACACCCATCACTGCCTCTAAGCAAAACTGCCTACATCTAATCATGGAGCATGGTCCAACAAAGCATCCTCAGCTGAGGAGAGGGGAAGGGGGAAGGGATCCTAGATTGTCTACCTGATTAGGAACAGGAGCAAGGGAAGGAGTCTGGAGGAACTGCACATCGGTCATCAAATGAGAACTTAACCTCCAGTGACCAGGTCCCACAAAGGTCTCCAGGCAGACCCCCTACCTGCTGGGGGGGAACTAGCAGCAATAATGCTGACAATGTGGAGAGCACAGGGCCATCCAGCAATTAAATCTTCCTGCCAGGTGGGAAATCAACAGCTTTCAGGTACTGAATCAGAAGAGAAGCAGACGGCAAATTCTTATCTCCAAGGAGGACAGCATAGTGAAACGTAACACTCTCAGTGCAGTACAGCATAGGGACTAGGCCACTAGACCTGCCACAGGGAAAACTCCCAGACCTTTCCATAGGGGAAGACTCTTCAACACGTGAGGGATTTCCAGTGGAGCTCAGGTCAGAGTACCAAGTCATGGAGGGGATGCTTGATGAGACAGGAACTGTTCTCAGGAAACAGATTGGATCCCCAGACATGGGGACACCCCCAAGTGAAGACTTTCATGGTGAAGGGAAGAAAACTGCCCCTTTCAGACAAAAAGGCAGACAGGTAATATCTGGAAGTACTTGGTCTAGAGAGACCATTTGGATGTTTCACCCCAAGTTCAGGCTCCCAGGCATGAGGGGTTGATGACAAGGACTGAGTTACAATTGAAAAAGGGAGTCTAAATTATGAGAGTAATCCCTTGGCACCCTACACACCCTGAAAGATGAGGAAGGGAGAATGATTCTGACTTATAAAGGGAGGAATTAAAACCCTAAAGCACAGGTGTCAAACTGGTGACCCTCCAACTGTTGCCAAACATCTTGTCCCATGAGGCATTGCAAGATTGACAGTTACAAGCATGACTCCCAAAGGCAGAAGCATGATGGGACTTGTAGTTTTGCAACAGCTGGAGGGCCGCCAGTTTGACACCCCTGCCCTAAAGGAAATGAGCAACCTTGCCCAACAGTGACCTTTAAAAAACCCAAGGCCTGGAACAAGAGGCTGATTCTCCAGTTGATGGGTAGTACATCTATAATGTTTGAAAACCCCAGTAAATCTGTGTCCACTTCAGGAGACTGCACTGACCCCAACCAGAGGTAGACTGTTGGAATTCTCAGAGACAGTGACAAGGTCAACATGGCCAGCATGAATAGAAGTTTTAGGCCAATCACAGACATAATATGCAGGGGACCATTTAGAGCCTTTGAGGGCAGAGTGCATCGATATCTGAACAAAAACAGCCAGAAAGTCCAAAGTGGAGACTGAGGTCTCTGTGGACATGGGGGATACCTTGGCCACACACGAGAGAGCTTTGGTAGACTGCAATAAAGATGATCCAGTGACAATAGGGGTCCAAGGTTCTGAATTACAGGTGTCAATTCCTTCTGGGTAAAAGGAAGCACTCTAGGACTATAAGCTGAGTTCATCCTTGGCAGTGGGACAGTCCTGGCTGTCTTAGTGAAGACATGTTTGTGTTTGTACAGTGGTAATTCAACTAGGCCCAATGTGAGGCAATGTTTTAAGTCTCATAAACCCAGGCAGCTCGGGCTGAGGGTTTCAGGTGGCCGGGGGTGACCAAGTAAGTGTAGGCAGGCAGGGAGATCCACATGATGCTTCAAGAGCAACGGCAGAATGATACTTTCTCCAAGTTGAATAGAGAGAAAGAGAAGTCAAAGCTCCACCCAGTGAATGCCATCAGCACTCAATTCCTCGGCCTTAACTCTTACCCTGTTAAAAAGTGGCAGGAAATTTAAAATGGTGGCCATCAATGAGTTAGCTCCCAATGCTTCATCACAACTGGCTCTGCTCACTAAGTGAGTCTTCAAAGACAGGGTCGCACCTGTGACTGCAGGACAGCTCTGGACCCAAAAGCACTCCTCAGCTAACTAACACAGTACACCCTGGCCTGGAGAGCACCACAATGAAAAGCCCAGTTCCCAAAGGTTACATTCCAGGCTAGTCTCACATGTACAGTCCAGGAGGGTCCAGCTTCAAAAGCTAGTGCTGAGAAAAAAACTGATCAGTATAGCTGATCGAGATCATCTGAGTTCACCAAAGAACCTTGATAGATTGATTGATGTCACCAAGAAACCTTGATTGATGACTGATTGACTGATGTCACCAAGGAAACTTGATTGATGTCACCCAAGAAACCTTGATTGATGTCACCAAGGAACCTTGATTTAGTATCACCAAGAATACTTGATTGATTGATGTCACCAAGGAACCTTGATTGAGCTAACCAAGGAACCTTGATTGTTGTCAACAAGAAAGAAAACTCCATTAGTGTAGCATCACTGATGTCACCAAGAAGAAAAGTCCACAAAGTTAGAAAGCTAGCAAAAAAAAAGTAGACTTTTTTCTTCAGAGCTGAAGCATCCAACCACTTAAGATAATAACAAATAACTGAAGCTTGCTGGGAGCAGAAGGGGTTACACAAGGACTGGCTTATAGGTGTTCTGATTGCTCGTGTCCAATCCTATTGTAACTCAGTTCCCGGGCATTTTGGTGCAAGCCCTGCAGCCCATTGAAGACACTGGGACTTTTGGAGACATCAAGCCATGAACAATGCCATGGACTCTTGCCTCACAGAGGTATGCCTGGGCAGCCCACACTACTATAGTTATAGCTAGGGGAAAGATGTTGTTCATATTGAACTGTACACTGCAACCCATTCAGTGAAGGATCCTGGTCTGAAGGTATTCAAAGGGGTGAATAGTGTTGGTTCTGGTGCATCTAAAGAACACGGGTGTGTATCGCACTGTGGGTTATAAAGTAACATTGTTATA